TCAGCATCATCTGGACCTGTGGGCCCACCATCACCTGACATTGGAGCACAGCCTGGCACAGGTCTAACAGCGCTGGGAGGAGTGAGCAGTGCAGCTGCATTTGAGCCATCCCTCAGCTCCTCTCCAGTAGCTGGACTTGCAACTGGAACAGGTCTTCTGCCTGGTACTGGAGCAGAGGCAGCAGTGAGTCCCGACCTCGGTGCTGCCCCCGAAGCATCTGTATCCCCATCCCTCAGTGCATCACAGCCATGGGACACAGCAGTCGGTGCTCCTGAGGACACAGCTCTCCCTGGGGCTGAGGGACCAAGCAGTGGATTTAGTTCGGTGCTGGCTGCCCCTAGCTCAGCATCATATGGACCTGAAGGGCCACCATCTCCTGGCATTGGAGCGCAGCCTGGCACAGGTCTGACAGCGCTGGGAGCAGAGGGGCAGGTGCTGGGAGGAGTGAGCAGTGCAGCTATATTTGAGCCATCTCCGAGCTCCTCACCAGGCACTGGGCTGAAGGCTAGAACGGACCTGCTGCCTGCTGCTCTGTCCCCATCGGGTCCTGCCTCCCCCAGTGATGTGCTCACAGCTCCCTCTGCTTCAGATACACCTGGTCCAAGTGTCTTGGGAGGAGCAGGTGGTGCTCCCAGTGCTCTGCAGCCCTCCCTGGTTGCTGCACCCGGGCTCCATTCTGCTGCAGGAGGAGTGCGTGATGGAGCTGAGGCTGTCTCTGCAGATGGAGAAGCTCCAGGGCAGTCTCAGGACCAAACTGGGACAGGAGCAGCTGTCGCCTCTAGTGGAAGGCAGGGATCTACACTGATCTCTATATCTTCCTCCCTATCTGCTGATGGATCTTCGTTACCTGAAGCAGCTGCTGGAGCAGATACAGGAGCAGGCATCCCCAGAGCTGGTGGAGCTGGCTCAAGCTCAGGCTTTGGGGCTGCTGCTCTCCAGAGCAACAAGGAAATACCCATCCTTCCCCCCACCATCCAAAGCAATGCCAATGTCGGACCTCCTGATGCCAAACTCAGCCAAGTCAACGTGGTGGAGCTGGCTGGAGGCAAACTGGAAGCCTCAGCCCAGGGGTCACCTCCTGCCAGTGGGGGAAACGGGCTGGGAACTGTCATCCAGATCGCCTCAGGAGTGTCGTCCTCCTCCATCCCCACCTCACCCCAGGAGACACAGCCCCTGGTCCCAGTGGCTCCAGCTGCCTCCAGCCCATTGATGGTGGCTGCGTCTGCCTCTGCCAGGGGGGTTGGGGACACCTCAGTTCCCAACGCAGGCCCCGCCTCTGCCTCCAGTACCCAGAGTGGGAGCAGCCCCCCAGCAGTGCCACGGCCCCCTGTGGATGAGATGGCTTCTGGGATGCTGGCTCCACTGGGAGAAGAGCTCCAACATGCCCCTAATGCTGCCCCAGCTCTGCCTTCTGCATCCGAAAGAGAAAACCTAAAGGAAGGAGCAGCCACCAGTCCCCAGCTCTCCTCTCTGATTTCAGCAAGTGAGTGGGCAGCAGGGGAATGGGGAGCTGCTTCTGCAGGTGGGGCTGCCCTGCTGCTGCCTCCCCTCCAGCGTGGGGTCCCTGCAGCAGCTGAAGGCAGGGGGGATGCTGATGGCCTCACCATCACCAATCCAGCCCATGGGGCTGACAGTAGGGTGAGCACCCCTGCATACATCCCGGTCCCAGGGGGAGCCCAAAGAGGGTCCACCTCTGCCACCCCACTCTCTGCTGTATCCTGCGGCCCAGACTCCAGCCCTGGGGACAAGATGGGGCTCATGGGGCTGGGGACAAGCGGCAGGTCCTCTGTTGGTTCCCATGTATCATCCTCTATGCTCCCAGCTCCTGGACAGCCGGCTGCTACCCTGACCCCACCGCCACTTCCCCCAGGTGGGTGATGCAGGGCTAGGGCAGGGAGAGGGATGGGAGCAGGAGTGGGGTGTTCCGGTGTGCCCCCATCCTCCTGCTGCCCAGGCGGTGTCACCTTGAAAGCAAAATTATTTTTGTTGGCACAGCCCAAGGGGTTTTACTATAAGAATGTTTTTTCTGAATTTTATTGTTCTCTTTTAGTCCCAGCAGTGCCCCTCTATAGGTATGGAGTGAGAGAGAATGACCACGAATATGTGCAAAGGAGAGTGGACTTCAATTCCCCACTTTTCAAGCCCGAGATCGGATTCCCGTTTGGGAAAACCCTGCGTGATTCTCTCTACGTGAGTCCATGCTGCCCTGAGTGCACCTCTTTCCAGTCCCTGATGTAGAAAAGCTCCAACCCCATCCCCTTGTGCACAGTTCACAGACAACGGGCAGATCATCTTCCCAGCCTCCGACAGCAGCATCTTCACACTCCCCAACCCGCCTGCCCGTGGATTCACCGGCCACGAGAGTGTTCCTATGATCGCCGTGTTCTGGGACAATGCTGACTTCTCCAGGGGCACTGGCACCACCTTCTACCAGGTCAGTGAAGCCATCCTTCTGTGTGATTGCATTGAGGTGATTGAGGCACTGGCACAAGTTGCCCAGAGAGGGGGTGGGTGCCCTGACCCTGGAGACACTTGTGGTCAGGTTGGACGGGGCTCTGACAGAGTTGTAGGTGTCCCTGTTCACTGCAGGGGGTTCAGCCAGATGGCCTTTAAGAGTCCCTTCCAGCTCAAATGGTTCTGATTCATTGCTTTGTTCATGGATTCCCCCTGAGATGCAGAGTGAACAGGTGATGGGTGGCATTTCCCTTCTTGGGAACCGCACGCCTGGTTGCAGCATCATGAATGGTCCCACTGGGGTCTCATCCCTTTGTGTCCCAAACCCACAGGAGTTCCTCACCCTGAACTCAGAGAAGCCACCATTCATCCGTGACGTGGAAGCGAAGGTCCGGCACTATCTGAGGTCCTCCTACTCAGCAGCCTGGACCCTGAAGATCACCTGGGAGAAGGCACCTGCCTACGGGGCACGTGGTGACAGCCGCAGGGTATGGGCCTACGAGGTGGGGGTGTCCAAGTACCATTTCTCAGGAAGCCTCATTAGGTTTACCTCATGGTAAATCCATCAGCTCTGCTCAGTCCTTTACCTGCCCTTGGTGCTTCTCCCCAGACAAACACATACCAGGCTGTCCTCACCACTGATGGCTTCAGGTCCTATGTCCTGATTCTGTACAAGGATGGAGGAATGCAGTGGGACTACACCCAGCTGCCGGCCACCAATGTGCTGATCGGCTACACCAGGTACAGGGTGTCACAGGGACTCAATGCTGGGGTGGTGTGACCCCACAATGTCTGACTGTTCCCCTTCCCCTGTGCAGTGGGGATGGGCATTACCACAATGATGACCTGACCCAAGGATCTCCAGCTGCAAAATATCGCCCTGATCGCTACAGAGGCTACAATACAGGTAGACAAATGGCCTGGGGGATGCTCTGCACAGGCATGGGGACAGCTCCAGGCCGGGGGGGGGGGGCACTGAATTTACTATCAACACCATTCCCATCCAGACACATAAACTGAGTTCCCTGAATATGAGTGATGCCCTGGAAACAAGCTAAACTTTGGGATCATCTTTGGGGTTTTCCATAATGATGCATACCTTTTTTGTGCAATACAATTTCTTGGAGATCTCAGCAAGAGCCTCTCTCCCATTTCCTGAATATTCCCCTGGTGTTGGGGTCCCATGGTGTGGACCCAACAGCATCAGCATCTGTTCTCTCTGCTGGAGCAGCCCACAGTCCCATCTCCCATTCCCCATTCAGATCTTCGTGGGCTGTGGCTGTACAAGCTGGAGAGTCGTGTGGGCATCAACTACCGCCTAAAGTGCCTGGCGTGGACGGGGCAGCAGCAGGAGCCGCAGGAATGGAGCCACAACCTGCCTGCCTGCCCCTGCTCCCTGCAGCAAGGCCAGCAGGACCGGCGCTTCAGGAGTGGCCATGGAGGCAAGTGGCACCGCCATTCCCAGTGTGTCCCCTGTACGCCCATGGCATCCCCCACGGGTGTCCCCAGAGTGCCAAATGAGTTGATTGCATCCCTGCTCCAGGCTGGGGGTCTGCTCGTGTCTCCATGCTGCACTCTGCTTCGCCCAACTCACACGGTGCTGGTGTGCGCTGCCTGTATGATGGCCGGGGGCAGCTGGTGGAGGGGCGGCAGGAGAGATACTGGAGGGCGTCCCGACAGGCATCCCCATATCGTGGTAAGCACGGACACCAGAGTGCAGGGGGGAAGCATCCCTGTGCCAGCCCATCTCTGGACACACTGTGGATGGCCACGCTCTCCTCCCCTTCCCAGCCATGATGCTGTGCTTCCTTCCCCCCAGACCAGGAGCTGAAGCTGTATGATTGGTGCTGCAACCAAGCAGGGAGCGCTCGCCTCTGTGCCCGCTACAACGAGAAGAGACCACGGATTGGATGCGATGGGTACCGGGCACACAGTGCAGGTGGGTTCTCTGCCTGCATGTGCCCAGGACTGGAGGGGGACATCCCAGTTCCTCCATGGTGAATGCAGTGAAAGCCCTGAGATGAGTTTGGGTTTGGGTTTGGAGGAGGATGGTGCTCTGGGCTGGTGTAACACACAGCACTATGGAGCTGGGCAATGTGTGGAGTAGAGGAGAGGAAATGTGTGGAGTATCAGGCAGCACTTGTGGGTGTGGGCTGAGCTTTGGTCTTTCTTGCAATCCACAGAGGATTCCTCAGAAGACAGCGACTCGAAGGAGCAGAGAGGTGAGGGGCTCAGGGGGTTCTGGGTTCACCCCATACCCTGGAGAGGCTAGGGATGAGGTTTCACTACTTATTATTTCTTTGCAGATGAGGAGGAGGAATAACTTGCGGGTCACATACACACAACACACTCTGGGCCGTGGATGATCCTCCAAACCCTTCACTTCCATTTGTACCCTATGTGTTCCCTGCATGCCTCTGCTCCCTCAATGATGGAACAGGCACTGTCACCATGTTCCTTGCCCCTGCTCTCCTGCCTGAGGTTGGCACTACAGGGGATTTTGGCCCCCAGCATCTGGGCCTTCACACCTTGCATTGGTTCAACTCTGTGACTGGAAATAATAGGAGAAAAATAATATTGTGTGCGTGAGAACACCTGAATTCTTGCAAAAGCACCAAAGTTCTTGTCAGGTTGCATTCCTTCAATAAAGCATCAGAGGGTCTGAGCATCACCAGTGAAGTGCAGCTACCTCTCTGGTGGGTGGGATGGGAGTGGGCTTGGAGCAGGGACTGGTTTGTGTGATCTGATGCTGAGAGCTGGAGGTGCACACATCACTCAGCACAATGCCCTCATCTCATTTTTATTCTGATTTGTTCATAATGCAGTGTGATTGCTGGGTCTGGTTGCACCATGCTGGGGCACACTCCGTGGTAGACACTCCTATGGATGACTCCAATCACTTCTTCAGGTCCTCTGCAGAAGATCCCATTGCTTTGGTGACCCACGTCCTCGTGGCACAGCCATGTCCCACAGCCCTGTATGTTCCATCCCCTTCCCATGCCCGGAGCCCTACCTCGCTGCCCCACTGCTGGGAGCAGAGCATGTTAGGGCTGCACAGTGCCTTGGCATGGAGGCAGGATGTGGGGTCTCTTGAACCGCATCTGCAAAAAGGGGCACAGGACAAGTGGTCTTCTAGTTGCACAATCCCTGCACTGAGCCCCGGCAGCAGTGCAGATCCTGCTGTCCCCAGCATCCCGAGCAGACTTTGAGCCCTGGGACAAGGACACTGCTGTGCTGCCCCATACACAGGGACAGTGACCCCTGGCACACCTGGACGGACGGATCGATGGCCCGGAGCTGTGTTTCCCAGAGCCTTCCTGAGGCCTCTGCCCCCTCTTCTGCCTTCATCAGAGCTGGGATGGGGAAAAAGATCAGAGCTGGGGGAGCACTGTGGGGACAACTGGGGGGCATAGGGACACTCCACTGCCTGTTCTGTTGCTCAGAGCTGGGCTACAAAGCAGGCTGGGAGTGTACTCACAGGTGAACGGCCGCTCTCTCCAGAAGGTCCCCTTGGTCCTAGGAGAGGAGGACAGAATGGGGACAACATATCGGTGGGGCAGGAGAGCCCCTGTCTTGTGCTCAACCCCCCATGCGGGGAGCACTGACTGAGTGTGAGGCTGTAGACAGGGATTGAGGAGGAAAAGCCCCAGCTCCTGCATACACCGCATTTCTTGCCTTGTCCCAAATGCAAACAAATGCTCTGGCACACTGGGGGCTCAGATGCAGAGCTTCCCACCCCACGCATCCCATACCAAGGATAGGGTGCAGATGGGGATGGGTTGGTACTACTCCCCCAGCCAGCTCTGCCCCTGCAATGTGCTTTATTTCTTGCTCCAGACCTGCTCCTCCCAGCAACACATGGATTTCAGCGGAAATCATTTGGATGGCATTCAAATTAAAATCAACAGAAAGCCCTTCTGTAACCAAACACAGGGTGGGACAGGGAAGAAACATGACCGCTCTCAGACATGGAGAAGGAAGCTGTCACTCCTCACTGCAGCAGACAACTGCAAATAGGGTGGATGATGCTGAGCTCAGCCTCCTTCCCCAAAACACCCCTGTCCCGTACCTGGGATGGATTTTCCACTTTTTCAGTATGGCAAAGCCTCTCCTGACACCCACTCTTAACACCCTGCCCCACAGCACCCACATTATGGGCCCAGCCCCAATCCCTCGCTCACCTCCGGGGCTCCCGGTGCCGACGGCAGAGCTGTGCAGCCAGACAGGCAGTGGAGAGCAGGAGGCAGAGCAGTGCCAGGGCCCCCACCATGATGCTGATGAAAGCAGCGAGGCTGACAGCGAGCTGCTCACAGTGAGCACCGCCAGGGGAGAAGATGGAGAAGGGCACGCAGCTGTGGAAGGGATGGAGATTTGGATACAGGGAGGGGTTGCTGTGTGGGTGGTGTTGCCCACCTCAGTGTCACAGCTACCTGCACGTGGGACCCTCAGGCAGGTGTTGGCAGTGGCCGCCGTGCTGGCAGTAGCCCTTCTTGCAGGGGGAGATGCAGATCAGTCCGCTTGTCCCCACATAGTCGAGCTGGTAACCCTCATAGCCATATAGCGAGCAGGAGAAGTAATGCTGCAGCTCAGGCACTGATACTGCAGAGGGATGGGTCCATGCATGGGGGTTTGGGGCAGCATCAATGCCTGCTGCATCCCCAGGACCCCTTGGTGGCGATCAGCACCAAATCATCTCCATCACAACCCCAGGGCAGGGGACAGCCACGGGAGTCCCATCACCCTTGGTACTGGGGCACTCACATTTCACCAGGTCCGTGATGTTGTCCAGGTGTAAGTGTGCAAAGTGTGCCAACTCCCGCCGTGCCCTCTGCCCGTTGAAAGCATTGGTGATGGCTACTGTCAGCTCCTCATTCAGGAACTGGATGACAAAGCTGCTGCTGTTGTAGGTAAATTTGGCCACCACAGCAAAGGTGAGGCCGTCAGCTGTCCTGCTGGGAGAGGAGCTGGCTGCTGTTCTCAGTTTCCCCATGACTTATTGGGGAAAGAAGGGGGGGGGGCTCACTGCTGTAAGGGTTTAGCAGTACTGGGGCTGGAAAAGGAGATCTGTAGGGGCAAAACTCTTTGTATTCTAAGCTCCGTCCTGTCTGCTCAGCACTCACATGCAGGTGATGTTGGTGTTGCTCCAAAATGCCTTCACCTCCAGAGAGCCCAGGATGGCTGAGACCTGTGCCAAGGGATTGGGTGGGAGATTTATGTGGGCTGTGACCCTATACCCCAGCCCCAATTGCCTCTCAGGCATGGGGCACGTGGAGCTGGATCCCTGGGGGGTGAGGGGGTAATGCAAAAGCACCCCAACCTGCAGCGTCCCACCCATCCACAAGCCACAGCCCCTCCCCCACCACTACGCACAGTGGCATTGACTTCCTCAGCTGTGGCACTTTGCGTTGCCCTGACCCACAGCAGCACGCTCCTCTGGGGCAGATCTGGGGACAAAACTGCATTGGTGCCTTTGTGTCTCAGGGCTGGGTGAGTTGAGATGGGTGACAGTCCCATGTAGGACACAGCACCCACCTGCGCTGGCCAAGGGCAGAAAGTCCCCTCCTGCCACCACGCAGTGCCGGTCGGTAAATGCTGGGGGACACTCACAGGTGGGTGTACAGGAAGGGGGGTGCAGGTGGCAGCGTCCCCCGTTGCTGCAGAAGCCCTCAGGGCAGGAGTGGGACCTGCAGGCAGTGTCACATCCCAGACCTTCCCCTGTGGGATGGGAGTACTTGATGCAGGAGGCAGACACTGCTTTTTGGAGCCAAGGTGTTCTGCTTGTTACCCCATGCAAAGCTGTGCATCCCAGGATGCCTGCACTCACCTGCTGCATCGGCAGGGCAGGAGCAGGTATAGCTGCCCACAGTGTTGGTGCAGGTGAGGTTCCCCTGGCACGCTGTTTTCTGCACACACTCATCGATATCTGCAGTGCAATGCAGCATGGCACCGGGCGAAACACCTTGAGGCCCCAGTGTTCATTCCCATAATGAGCCCACATCACCTGCACAGTGCTGCCCATCGCCAGTCAGCCCAGGTGGGCAGGGACCACAGCCTGTGTGCGGGTCACAGCCCACCCCAGGGAAGCAGCCCTGGGCACAGGGGTCTAGTGCGTGCTGGCAGAAGGGGCCCCAGTATCCATCATCACACCTGCAGGCTGCCAGCTGCCAAGGGATTGTGACAGTAGCTTAGGGGACATGAGAACAGATGGGATGGAGCTGGTGGAGGGAGACATCCCAGAGCTTTGCTACCTGCAAGGAGGAGCTGGCGATGGTGGTCGTGCTGCTGTAGTCACACTGCTGGATGCTGCGGCAGCTGCACAGGGTGAAGCTGAGCTGCAGGAGGGCTGGGGGGAGGTGTGGGCTGACAGCCTGCAGGGTGATGCTGAGTGGGGCTGTCCCACGGGGCTCCCATGTCAGCATGCCGTTCTCTGCAGGAAGCAGAGGAGGAGGGGGCACGTGGTAGTGGTCACGTCCCAGCCCTCCTGGAGGGGTTCCATCCAGAACCCAACATCTGTGCGCTACCCGTCCTGCCCCCATCCTGTCCCCTCTCTCCATCCCTACCCGATATGTTGAGCTCTGATGAGATGTGAGGGACAAAGCGTACAGCCGGCCCTGTAGCTCGGTACTGCCTGGTGACTTGTTCTGTCCTGAATGCTGTGAGCAATGGGCTGCCAGTGATGACGGGAGGGAAGGAATCTGAGGGAAGAGCAGCCCTGTGTGCTCACCAAGAGTTCTTGGCATCTCTTGGTCAATGTACCTCGCAGTAATGAGGTGGCCCTGGGCAGATGTAGCCATGGCCACCCAACAAAATCCCTTCTGGGTGGCATCACCAGCCAGCTGTGCCATGCAATTCAAGACTTTGGTAGCATCTCCCAGGATTGGAGATGAGCCAGCCGTGCACTGCAACTCAAGAACTTGGTGGCATCTCTCTTGCCTCATATAGCCCCAGGGAGGGAGCAGGGCTCTTCCAGTTCCCCACACCCCACTTACCAAGTGCTGCCTTTCTCTTCTGATAGTCCTCCACCAGGCTCTGGGTGGCCAAGCCCAGGGCCACATCCCCTGTGCTCAGCATGTCATAGATGCACTCCCTGCAGCCGTGGCACTGCGAGGCTGCCAGCTGATATTGGGTTTTGTTCTCCTGTTGCAGCTGAGACAAGAAGATGGGGTTGAAGGCTGTTACTGGTGCAGCCAGGGGCTGGGCAAACAGGCTGTGCTCTCCAACAGCCCCTGCAAAAGAGCACATCATGAGTAGGACCTCGTGTTTTTAAAGCTAGCTCTTTTTAGGGCTGGATTCCATGTGATGGTAAAGAATTTGAAAGGCTCCCTTGGCACTAGTTTTGTTCAGTGTCCAAACCTCTCTAGCCAGTGCATGGCCAGAAGGTGTCGGAGCGTGGGATGGCCAGGCTGGTTCCCAAGCTCTGACTTACAGGTCATCCCATAGCTGAAGATATCTTCCTCACTGCTGTTTACAGGAATGTTAGTTCCATTTGGCATCTGGAAGTCATCTGCTGGGTTATGGTTCCATACACCTGATGGAAATTCACTGTGGGATTGGAGTCCCCAGTGTCTGCCAGCAGCGATGGGGTGGGAAGGGGACCTTGCCCCTGGCCCTGCAGCAGTGCTGGAGGACAGGTGAGGGGATGCTGGCAGAGTCCTCACCCAGCAGGCCTCTGGTGCCATTATGGTACTGCTCCAGCAGGCTGCATACCGCATTGAGCATCCCAGAGTTGGCTGAGACGGAGATGGAGATGGTCCCATCAAAGATGGCTGTGATGGAGGAGGTGTTGACCAGCAGGACACCGGGGCTGTAGTACACCTCAGCATCCATGTCTGCGAAAGAAGACACAGAAGGAGCCCACACAAGTCTGAGATCTGAAATGATGTCTCTGAATTCAGAGAGGGGAGCATTCCCAACCTCACTGGCCAAGTCTCTATGGGATGGGTACACCTCTGATCCTCCTCAGATACAATTAACATTTAACAGCATGTCCCCCTTACCTCGGGAGTAGGAAAACTGGATAGTTTCATAGTTCAGCAGAACTTGTACTTCATTAGAGCTCCCCAAGGTCCACTCAACCTGCAAATGGACAACTGCTCAGGATGTTCCTCCTGCTTGTCCCTCCCCACCCCCTGCAGAGGACAAACTGCTGGATGCTGTCCTCCCCCAGAAGAGGTGTTCATCCTGGAAGATGTGTTGGCACAATCCTTGCCCCAGCAAACACATGACGACACAGCTTTGATGGCTGCATGGGTAAGGATGGTGAGTGCTCTCCACTGCCACTTTCACAGGGCACATCTGGGTTACCACCACTGCTTGGTTGATCACCAACGGTTGACCATTGCAACATGTTGGCTCCGGGCTCAGAGCCCTCTCAAGGGCTGCTTTGGTGACAATGGGAGATATCACTTACCAAAATGGGTGCAGAGAGTAGCTCTACTCACTGTTGTGGTGGTGCTGGAGGTGTACTGGGCAACGAAGGCCATGAAGTTGGTGGCCCGGGCTGTACTGGTGCGGGCCATGCGCCCTTGCAGCACAAAACTGGTGTGGGCATCACTGGCCAGCAGCAGCATGAAGTCCCCAAGTGCATTGAAGGTGTAGGTGAGGCCGTCCAAGGTAGTGACATGGGGGTCCCCAAAGGCATTGGCTACGGTCCGAAGGAAATGGAGTCGTTTTGAGAAGGGAAAGGAAAGCAAGTGCTGGTATCATTGCATGGCGGAAAGCAAACCACGGTGCTCAACAGTCTCCACTGGGATACTGCAAACCACGGCCTACATGGGTATGGCCATGCTATCTGCTCAGTGCCCCGCCACAGAGGAAGGGGACCTACCAGGGGTGGGCGGCACATATCCCTCACAGCCAGCTCTTGGTCTCTTCTCGCTGTACCTGGTGCAGAAATGAGGCTTCCCCACTTGCCGGCAGCACCATTCAAACGCCTCCAGCTCTTGGTCTGTGGGGATACAGTGGTTGGGTGTTGGGGATATGGAGGTCCCACTGTTGCTGCAGAGTGTAGGCAGACCCTGCGGGTGTTTTAGGGCCGGGACAAGGCGGTGCCCACTCACTGTCTGAAAGATTGTTGGGTGGGCTCCAGAATCTCTCCTGCCATCCCTCCAAAAACCCTGCGCCGCGGTACACACACCGCACCCCAGCCCCCGTTCGGCTGGGGGATGTGGTGCGCAGCACCATCACAGAGAGATCTGAAGTATTTTGGGGTACAGTGGTCACCCCAGGTGCAGGAGGGGACTCAGCGCTTCTGCTCCGGCGGTATCGGGGGTCCAGCTCTGCCTGGGGCCGTGAGCAGGGGCAGGGTGGCAGCTCCATACTCCAGGTGGATGGTGGTGGCTGTGCCTGCAGCCACGTCAGGCACTGCAGCCTGTAGTTCACCCGGCTGCGGTTGTCCAGCCGGAACAGCCACAGCCCACGCACATCTGGGGAGCAATAGGAAAAAAGAAAGCAGGACTGCAGCGACCACTGAAACCCTGCAGTGGGGCTTGTGCAAAAAAAGGGTCTCAACAGCCTCCATCCCACCCAGCAGTGAATTGAAGATCTCTCCTGATGCCATACCAGTGCCGGAGCTGCGGTGCTGGTCTGGACGGTACCTAACAGCTGGTGGCTCTTCAGTCAGCTCACTGTTCTGGGCATAGCCATCACCACTAGGTAAAGAGAGGAGCTCTGGGGTTAGGGTTAGAGTTAGGTTAGGGTTATGTTCCTGCACCCAGTACACTGTGGGCAGGGGTTTCCAGTTGGGGCTGGGCAGCTTTGTGGGTTTTCCTTAGAGAGTGAAGCTTGAAGTGGGACACGGCTACATTAGAGGAGAGAGCTGGGGATATCTCTGGGGACACACACACACAAGGACACAGCACCTGGAGAAGCCAATGAGCACGTCCCTGGCTGCCAGCCCGGTGTAGTCCCACCGCATGCCACCATCCTGGTACAGCAGCAAGGCAAAGGAGCGGCTGCCATCAGTGGAGAGCACCGCCTGGTACGTGTTGGTCTAGGGAACCCATAGAGCCCCATCAGCACCCCACTGCTGTGCCCCATCCATTGTTAGTGGCAGTTCCCCTTTGTCACCTGTGCATCATCCAGTGGGGACGGGTATGATGGAGCCTTCTCCCACGTCACCTTCAGGGTCCATTTAGCAGAGTATGGCACCCGCGTGTATTTCTGAATCTTTGCTTCCACATCATGGATAATAGGATCTCGGATGGAGCCGAGGGTGGGGTACTCCTGTGGTTGCAGGGGGGTTTCAGTGGGTGAGGATTGGAGGCAGCAGGGTCACAGCCTGTAGGTGCCCAATGACCCTGACCTGGTACCAGGTTGTGCCAACACCACGAGAGAAATCCGCATCGTCCCAAAAGGCGGCCACCATGGGTAAAGCCTCGTGGCCACTGAAGCCCTGGGAAGGGGGGTGGGGGCTGGAGGGGACGTGGTTGTCCGTGGGAGGAAAAATGATTTGTCCGTTGTCTGTAAACTGAGCAGAATGACAGGTTAGGTTGCATCCATACATCCAAGAAGAAAAAAATCAATTTTAGGTGGTGAAAAATTAAATCAGGTTTCTGTCCCATTTGTGTGGGTTGTTTGTTGTTTTTTTTCCTACTGAGCAGGCTGCACATTCCTTATATAGGCATAAGAACTCACGTAGAGGGCGTCCCGCAGTGCCTTCCCCAAGGGGAACCCAATCTCGGGCTCCAGCAACGGGGAGTTAAAGTCCACTGTTCTCTGGATGCACTCTGTGTCCCCTTCCGCTGTGCCAAATGGGTACAGTGACACTGCTGGGACTGACACAGGCAGGACATTAACGGGGGAGGTTAGAAACAATTAAACAATTAACTTCTGCTCCAGTTTTCATTCTGCTCAGCTGCCTCCTCACCCTTGGGTGTGATTTTGGTGGTGGGTCCCCCATCCCTGGTGGAATCCCAAGAGTCACCCTCAAGGATGCCTTCTCCCTCCTCCCCCCTCCCCCCCCAAAATGCCATCATGATATTTAACCCAATTTGGCTTTCTTTGTGGTGACTCAGGAGGCAGGGATTGCAACTGGAGGAAATGAAGCACTTCAGTCTCGGTGACTCTTCCGATTTTGGGCTGGAATGCTGTGAATAATGAACCTGATGTGAACCCTGGCACGTATGGTGAGGGGGGTGTGCCTGCAGATGCTCATCGCCTCTGGGATAAGAGCATGGCCAGGGGCTGGGCAAGAACTTGAATTCTCTCCCTTAAGCTGTGAAAATAAGGCTGAGGGCCCCCTTCTCTCCTTCACGTTGGGAAAGGGGAAGAAAATCGACTTACCGAGCTCAGTGCCAGGCTTGGACATGGGATTCTGGGGGGTGGCATAAGCGGATGCCCCTGGTGCTGTGATTGGTCCACTCTGTGCCCCTAAGCCTGGAGCTGCTCTGGTGGGGCTGCTGGCTGCTGGTATGCCCTTAGCAGGGCTGGACATGGCAGTAGATGCAGAGGTGGCCTTGTGGTTTGTCACTCTTAGGGCAGTGGGGACATCATGCATAGCAGAGGGGGACTGGGCAGCACTGTTGGTCGTTGCTGTAGGAGGTGACACCGTGGTGTGCCTGGTCACCATGGAGGTGTCAATGCTGGGTGAGCCAGCTGGTGTAATGGCATTGCTGGAGGGGATGGTGTTCTTCCAGGACATGGCTGTGGCTTCCCATGTGTCTGTGCTGGAATCCTCTAAGGCTGGGTCACGGGAACTGCTGGTGGCCTTGATGGGTGTCTCTGGGGTGACATGGGGGCTGTGTGGCTCCAGAGAGCTGCTAGAGACAGCAGAGGAGGGTGTTGTGACCATACCGAGAGAGGTATCGCTTGTTCCCACTGCTGGACCACTGGCACTGACGCTGGGTGTGACGGAGGGTGCCACCACTGCTGGACCAGTGAGACTGGCACTGGGTGTGATGGATGCCACCACAGTTGGTGTGGCAGAGGATGCCACCACTGCCAGACTGCTGTTCTGGAACACAAAAGGGGACACGCTCACATCTGGTTCAGCAGTGTTGCGGCTGAGGGCAGGGGACGGTGCTGTGACCGATGCCAGGGATGTGGGAGGACGTTGGCTGCCCACTGCAGATGGTGACACTAGGGTGGCCCTTCTGACACCCGGCTCAGCACCTCTGGCCATGGGGGTAGTGGCTGAGGAGGTGTTCATATCCCCTGTCACCTGAGCAGCACTATGGCTGCGGTTTGGCGTGGCCGTGCCTAGCTGAGTAGTGGTGCTGGCACTGAAAGGATATGGTGCTGGTAGTGCTGACACAGCAGAAGTGCTCGTAGTGTTGGCTGTGGGGATGAGGACACCCACTGTGGGGTTTTCAACTGGGACTGAGCCTGTTAATGCCTGTGGGTGGCTGCCCAATCCCAGGGCAACTGACCGCACCATTTGCCCAGCTGTGCTGCCACTGGAGGATGCCACAGCAGGAACTGTGCTGGGGACTGTGCCCATGCTCAATCTCATCGAGGAGCCCTCAGTTGGCAGGACAGCAGTGCCTGTTGTGGCTTCAGCAGTGATGGACTCTGTCTCAGCACTGCCCAGGGCTGCATACGGGGTGGTGGGTACATGTGGTGTAGTGCTGACATCCATGGCCGTGCCTGATGTGCCTGGAGCAGCTGCAGTGGAGGCGTTGAGCTGAAAGGTGACACGGGGATGGGTGACGGCTGCGTCTCTGTGCAGCCCATCTCCAGATGTTCCAGGGGCTGGCAGCCCAGGAGCTGTGGCCTCACTGACAACGTCAATGGCAGGAGGAGTGATTGTTGCAGAGGCTGTGCCTGGGGGGATCATGGTCCCTGATTTCTGCATTCCAACATGATGGAGAGACCCTGTGGTTGCTGGCACAGTGGGAGATGTGACACGGTCAGGCGTGGTTGGTGCAGGCTCGGTGTTCCCCGCAGTGATGCTGGCTGCTGTGACAAGAGGAGAGGTGGCCTCATCCAGCCCTGCTGTCACCTCCTGGGACTGGCGCACAGCGGCTGTGTGCAGCTCAGCTGGGATCCAGGTGAGGGAGTGGGGTGATGTCCCTGTGCTGCGTTGGACATCAGACAGCACCATGGTCTGTTCTGTCCCTGGTGTCTTCTCTGCAGTGCCAACACAGTGAGGCTGCACCAACCCAACGTTATCAATTGCTGTGCTGGTGGCTGAGGAAGGTGCTTCTGTTCCCAGCACCAGAGGAGTTGCAGGGGCAAGTGTCACAGGTGGTGACAAACTGTCACTGGGTGCTGGGACATCTCCTGTCAGCATGCTGCTGTCACTCACGTGTTCCTTGTCTGTGATCCCTTCTTGTAGAGGCACAGATGTTCCTGGTGCAGGCTGCCCAGTGGTGCTCTGCAGAGCTCCGGGTGACCCCACAGACATTGTGGGAGCTGTGCTGCTGCTCAGTGGCACTGAGGCGCTCGTCCACTTCTCCATGGGTACAAGTGGAGATGCTGACAGTGTGCCCATGGCTGGTTCATAGGAGTCAGAGCCAAAACTTGGAGTCACAGTAATAGCTACCCATCCAGAGGTTCTGCTGGCAGGGTGGATAGCAGGGGTACCTGTCACTGCCGAGGTCCTGCTGCTGTACCCTCCTCCAGGGACACCATCTGGCAGTGACACATCAGCTACCACACTGGAGACCATCCCCACGTCCAGCCCCATCAGGGTACCCTCAGTCGGCAGGACAGCAGTGACTGTGGTGGCTTCAGCAGTGATGGACTCTGTCTCAGCACTGCCCAGGGCTGCATACGGGGTGGTGGGTACATGTGGTGCAGTGCTGACATCCATGGCCGTGCCTGATGTGCCTGGAGCA